AGATAAGGTGTGGCGGAAACTAAAAAATGGCGGAAAATTGGAAGCACTGAACGTTAGATCTATAGAACGAAGACACACTTCCTTTTTTCCGGACCCGAGTCTGAATAACATTTTTTCATATTCGGACTCGAGTCCGAATAACGACGGCCATATTTTAAATTGAGAATGTATATATAGTTTTCTAATCTAATGATAAAAATAAAAAGATTAACAATAGAATCTAAGAAGCTACACATCTTCATTTTGTTATCCAACACAGTATACATAGAGTAAACAAAGAAATATCTCAATTATACTGTAATATATTGTTTGACGAAAGAAGCAACCCACATCCGGAGAACCTAAATTCTAAATGAAATACTGTTCGCAGATGATCAAAGTCTACTGCATAACAATAACACTGAACTGCAGGAACACGCTGACAAACAATCAAATCTGTAGAAATGTGTGTGAGATGGAATGCCTCAGGAAAACATTAACAAGAAGGGATAAAGTGAGAAAAAATAAAAGAGAACAAGTTGGGACAACACCACGTATGAAATGCATTGAAAAAACAACGCATTAAACGGCCCATGTGGGCCAATAAGCCCCAGCCCCAGCTTATTTGCCCATGTGGGCCAATAAGAGCAGCCTTATAGAATTCTGTGCTGTGAACAAACGTTCTAGATCTATTACTACTGTTAGTGTTAGCCTAAAAGCGTGCAATTTTGTCTGTGGGCAGTGGAGAGAGAGAGAGAGAGAGAGGAGTAGCACGAGAACTTCCGGGCAAAACAAAATGGCGACCCACGTAGTTCGTTCGATTCGGAAAGTTAAATAGCTGTAGCATCTTTGTAGACAACCAAATTAATTTAATTTTGATTTTTAACATCATTTTTAAACTTTGTTTTGGTCAATTTGATCGTCCACACCGATAGACAGTATTCAGAAAGAGACAGAGAGAGAGAGAGGGGGGAGGAGTAGATCTTGCGAGAACTTCCGGGCAAAACAAAATGGCGACCCGCGTAGTTCGGCTCGATTCGAAAAGTGAAATAGCCATAGCATCTTTGAAGACGATCAAATTAGCTTACTTTTGTGCTATAACGTAATTTTTTCTTGGCTTTTATCAATTTGATCATCCACACCAATAGACAGTATTCCAAAATGAGGAAAAACAGGTCTTGTTTCACACCGGGTGAGAATAGCCTACGCTGGCAAGTCTCATCCGCGGTGAGAGGTAGATCGTATTTTTATTCTCACCAGCCACCTCCGTTATTCATAGCTTTGCCTACGATTGATGATTCAAATCTTGGTAATAATATTCAACATCAGTGCTTCCACTCTTCTGTATTTTTATGGAAATCCATACTTTGTACCAGTTCCGTACTTGTTCCTTCATCATTATCAACTCGCTCCGTAAAAAGATAGACTAGATATCTACCAAAATTCCGTAGCGAAAGATCCCTACTCGCCTTGCTCGTACTAGTATAAGTTACGGATATTTACGGTATTTCTCTCAACAATAAATGTTATAGAGACCTGCCAGATTGCGCATTTCCTGCAATCGGTCGTTATTCCGCTATGCCCCATACATTCATTGCGGGTTGGTCGGCAGTACATTTTTACCTGTGGATTGATCTAAATCTGGCGAACTTTTTGTGCCAATTTCCTCCCTTCTATCATTCACTCATTCCGTCTATCTTCGGATTGTTGCCGCCGCTGGAAAATCTTGGCGTTGATCAAGTCAATTGACATGAGATTTTAGTCTAGACAGAAAATTGCTGTCAGTAAGAAACTTTTTTACAAATGTTTACATCAAGGGAAATGATCAATACGAAGATTCTACGGCACGAGAACGCGATAAGGGCCGCGATGAAAGAAATTTATACTAAAATCAAGAATAATTCGAAGTGGTGTTCCGAGGTTGTGACATACAACATTCAGATGTGAAATTTAAGGAAAACTAGGTATACGCCGGGTAACTATATATAGTATTGTGAAGGTACATATTATCTATTATTAATTATATTTCCAGGTTTGCCTTCTATCAATGGTGCGATGACAAATTAATTGAATTATAGTAGCAATGGAAGGGGAACCTGCTTTTAAACATTGCCATCAATAGAAATATAATGTAGGCCTACATCTTGGTGAAGAAATCAAAGGAAACAAAATGTTTGTAAAAAAATAAATGATGGTTTGTAGGCAATCTCTTCAAACAGGCTCCCAAAATAAATGCCATTTTTAACCCACTAAAAGCACTAAATTTCAATTTCTTCGAGGGCGTCGCCCCCTGAACCCCCACTGGGACGCTGTCCCTGACCCCTGGCAGAATTTTCCTTACTTTTTAGCTTCAGCTGGTGGAAGCACTGTTATTTAGGCCTATCCTACAATCCTACAGTAGCCAGAGGCTCAGTCTATCATGTAGTTCTGCTTCTAGATCTAGATCTAAGTCTGAGGCTATAATAATAGCCTTTGTACTAATCACCACATAAAACTGCAGCGAGCACCTTGCACACCTTTGTGATTGGCCCAAATATAGATTCTAGATCTAGATGACGTATTTCAGCCTTCTAATTTTATCGTCTTTCTGGGCTGCCCTCGCCAGTTGACTTACTAGAAGAATTAGATTTCACCGCGGCGGGCCCGCTTTGTCGCTTAGCGCACGATGGGCTACGTCACTAGATCTGGGTTTTATCACCGACTGCTTGGGTTGTGTGTGCGCGCAGACTTTGTGTGTGTGTGTGTGCGCACGCTTGTGCGTGTGTGTGTGTGGGCATGTCTGTGTGTGTGTGTGTGTGTGTGTGTGTGTGTGTGTGAACAACTTTGAGGGGAAGGTAAATTTATGGAAAGAGAATTGCTGTAGTTGTTTATAAAAGATACATTTAAATTAATTTTTTTAAAAATAACGAACACTGCGAGATCTGGTCAACAGTTACTGGCGAGGGAAACCCAAGAGTCTTGGGGGAAACCCCGGAAGACGACAAAAATAGATGGCGGAAATATGCCATCTATATTTTGGCCAATCACAGAGGTGTGCTAGGTGCTCACTGCAGCTTCATTACTACTCTAGTGACATCTTAGACTGAGAATAAGAGCTGATCTCATTTGGTGCTCATACTCGATGTCCAACGATACTTTGCCTCCACAATAAATAACATCTGTCAGTAAGTAAACTCTAATTCCCTATTCTACAAGTTCAAATCTGTCTATACCCTGTCTCAGCCAAAAAAGTAGTAAATCATTAACAGAGTATTTGCTGAGGGAAACTGGTGCAAGTGAAATGTGGATGGAGCTTCCACATGAACAATGTCGCTCCATGTGTTCTCTCGTTGGCTGACACAAATCCATCATGGAGGCCACTTATAAAGCAACACCATGACTATGGCCACCTCTATTCGGTGAAAATAGCCTCTCTCCCAGGGTGAGAATAGCACAGTTGTAGGCCTCTCACCCGGGGTGAGAAATATAGCGCAGTTGTAGCAGGGTGAGAGGACAAATCTTTTGGGTGTTTTCACCCCGTGTGTGTTCGCCGCTTAATGCATTGGCTCAGGCCGATCACTGTGGGGGAAAGGGCGAACCTTTTGGCTATTTTCACCCGGTGTGGGTTCACCGTGATCTGATACCAGTGTAAACAGTGCTCTTGTGCTGAAAGTGTGCAATTTTGTCTTCGGGCAGTGAGAGAGAGAGAGAGAGAGAGAAGTAGTAGCGAGAACTTCCAGGCAAAACAAAATAGCGACCGGCGTAGTTCGGCTCGATTCGAAAAGTGAAATAGCCGTAGCATCCTTGTAGACGACCAAATTAGTTTACTTTTGTGCTATAACATCATTTTTTTCTTTGTTTTTGTCAATTTGATCATCCACACCGATAGACAGTACAGTCTAACCTGCCTTAACGGAAACCTGTCCAACGCGGAAACGGAAAGAAAAATCCACTCCCTTCCCGAGGGTTTCACCTGTCTAAGACGGAAAATGTTTTGCCATTTCTGCCCTGATTTGAAATAAAACTCGCAAGTTTGGTTCCGCCAGCTCTAAACTTAACGCCATGGCAATGCCACTGGGCGAGGAAGGGGAGTAGGGGTGCAATAATTTGAGGGTAGATGTTGCCCTATCATGTGAGCCCTGAGCGATGCAGATGGTCAGGGTAATATAAGTGAAATCTCATGACTGTCCGTGACAGTGCTCGAGTATCGAGCTACTACGGAAACTTTCCTGGGTAGCTAGAAGCTAGAGGTGATAAATTAGTTTGACCAATGCCTTCCTCCCTGTTCGTACAGCCAGCCGAGAAAAGAGTTCCTTGAATCGTTAATACATGATGGCAGTGAGGGGTGGCATTGGTTGACTGTGCTTGTTACACCGATGGGTGGGGCTAAGGGTGGAAGCAAAGATTTTCAAACGTTTCGGTATTTAATAGGTCAAACAGTGGTCCTATGAAAGGCAAGCACTGTGGTAATTGGATAAATAAGACTGACGCATGTCATTATCAGACAGGATAGCAATTGAGAGGCGTGAAGTTTTGACCACTGCTTTCCGTTCGGACAAGCGATCCTTGATCCAACAGGCTGGGCCTTTGACCCCCCCTTCCATCTCCCCCTAAATTCCCCTGTCTAAGATGGAATTTTTTTTCTGGCTCCCTTGTGATTCTGTCTTATACAGGTTCGACTGTTCAGAAATTAGGAAAAGCAGGTCTCGTTTCACACCAAATGGGAATAACCAATGCTGGCAAATCTCACCCAGTGTGAGAGGTTGATCTTATTTTTATTCTCCCCGGGGGTGAGAATAGCCACTTCCTATGACTATTGAGTGTACGAAATGCGAAGACGTGGGCATGTCTTTTGTTTTTATTTGATTATTTCATTTTAGTTTCCATTTTTCTCTGGCTCAGTGAAAATGAGCATTTCGTCTTCTCCCTTCTCCGCTGTGTTCAGAAAATCTCTATTCTATTGGGTCATTAAAATAGAGATCAGGGGACTTTAATGTTTAAACTTTTAAAACAGCGCATTCAAAACAAACCAAAAGTAATGCAATGTAGTGAGCTGAGTAATTCATTCAAAGTACACCAAAACTATCAACTGATATCTGAAGTGTTGTATGAGATATTGTTATTATATTTCATATGTTGAAATGTAGTCTAACGTAAGTATTATTAGACAAGACGGCCGTCTTAGAGGAGACTTATCAAAAAGAAAAAAAACTAACCGTTCCATTCTAAGGCCCTAACCGGAGGCTGTGACAGGCATTTTTTTTCTTTTGGAAGGAAGTTAGAAATAGATTTTGTGGCAGCTGTTAAAGTGTTAAATTCTACGAAGTATAAGATGAGGAACACACTGTCCAGCTGTGAAGTGCAAGGGTTAAACAAACCGAAATATGTTAGAAGAGGAAGACTGAGTGTGCCATGGTAAAACAAATAACCACATGATCAGTTCTTTCATTGGAGGAGCAAACAATAGTGATAGGTGAATGGATCGTCCACAGAGTCGGACGCCAATACAGAATTAAATTTTATGATGAAGTGTTAGGCTATGACAGATTTGCGTGGCCAACTTACACAGGTTTTTTTTTGCTTTTTGGGTGATAAATATATAGTGGCTGCTACGACGTTGGACAGGTTATCATCTTTTGTAAAAACAAAAGGGGGAGAATTGAAAGTGGCCGTTTTTAGGTGGCCGTCATGGCAGGTTCGACTGTATGGATTTATTTCTCCATGAGTGCAATGCTGAAACAACTCCACTTATGGTATGAATTATAATTATAATGATTATTTGCTGATATACTGATGTAGAGGTTCAATCCGTGGAGTGATACATGGTCGAAGGGCCGTGTAAGTTAAGACTAGATTTTTTTGTCTTTTGGAAGTTATGGATCGAAAACAGAAGTTTTGACTTGTTGATTTCTGGCTAAGATTGGAGCAACACAAATGTGAATTACACTTTTTTTTGTGGCAGAGTCATTTAAAAAATAATGAACCTTATAGTATGACTTTCCAAACATACCTCACCTGTCTGAAAGCTGTGTATTGACCTGGTAGAATTAGTAATTGAGGAGATGCTTCCATGTTTAAAAAAGATGCCGGAATTTTGAAAAAGTGTTATTTCAGACTGGTCTTTTGAATCTTTACTTTTGACTCTGAGACAGCTTATTATATATAAACTGGAATAAAAGCTTGCATTCGCCTGGCATTAGGGCATCAAAACTGCTTTTATTCATCTTGCTTCTCACAACTTTGGTTAAGTATATACATCTTCTTTTCTTTTACTTTGAACTTTATATTTTTCAGTAAACTTTTGCTTGTGTCTCTGTTTTGATGTGCAATCTTTGTGATTTTTTTTTCAGTGATTTGCTTTATCGTTGCATGTTGTGTCTTTTATTTTTATTGATGATGATGATGACAGTGTTTCTCACAGCTCTTTAATCCCGCCTGGCCAATCCATTTAACTAACCAAGAAAATGAATAGTTGAGGGGCTACGGTCAAGGATTGACTTTGATTATCTTTATCATCCTGTTTCAATAGTTGTTTTGTGAAGAAATTTAGCTTATAATGTGAAGATTGTAACTCCCATGTCAACAATACAGTGGTGTCCGCGTAACAACAATCTTTGTAATACATTGGCTGATAAAAGAATTGATTTTGACAGTTCAAAATCAGTGTGACCAAGAAGGGCATATAATGAAGTACTGGGGCTTGTTCACTACCTTTCACCAAGAGCCACCTTCTTTTATGATGAGTCTCCTGGTTGGGGGGAAAAAGTTTCTGTCACTATGACAATAACAAAACGGGAGGAGGGGGGTGGGAGGCAGATAGGCCGCTGTGCATAACATGACTGCTCTGTGATGGAGCATCGCTCACTTGAAAGCTGACGCTGCCTATCTTAACATTTAACACATCATTTTGGATTAGGACTTGTGTGTGTGTCTGAAGACGGTGGGTGGACTAGATGGGAGAAACCCCCCTCCCAAAATTTCAGTTAGCAGCGACCTCTGCCCAACAGTACCCAGGGGTTGCTATACTATTATGCAGATACCACTGTTTTATGATCATGGTTCTAGTATACTTGTGATTGTCTTCTACGTACATAACCCCTGAAAATTAAAGACTAGACTAGAATACAGTAAAATAATAAATTTGTTTAACGCGAAATTCATCTTAACAGGAAATGATTTTTAATCCTCCTTTTTTTCTGCTTTATTCTATGCATTGCAACTTTCTTTAACTTAGCATGATAAAAATTCCAAAAGACTTTGTTATCAGATAGGAATTTTGGGCTGTTTCATCATTCCTCCAAGCTGACTTTCCTTTCCCACCGAAAAATTTTTTTTTTCGCGCTTAGTGTATAGAACAAAATTTTGTTACACTGAAAAATCAAGTTCAAAGGCATATCTGGTTCTTCGCATAGTGTTCTAAGGTGGAGATGCTTATTGTGCTTAAAAATGAAAAGGGCAGTTTAAAACTAAGGGCTGATTTTGCTGAAAAGAAAAAAAGTGACCCAATAACCTGGACATTTATTTCACAATCTTAATTACTGAAATTGGGTGATGTCTCAATTTAACAGAACTTTGCCAGCCTATAAATAAGCATGCTAAGACCCATGCAAGTTTCATCAAAACTGATTTGTATTTAATAAATTGCATTGTAGAATAGCATTTACTTTTTGGAACAGTGTAATTTTAATGGAGACCTATTAGCTTTTGAGTAAAAAAGTTTTATTGAAGCCTATTTAAATTAATGCTTTTGTATTTACTAATGTAATGGGAAGTCATAGACTAGGTTTTTGGATAGGAAAGGGGGTGCTGTTTATTAACAATATAGTTTTCAGTCTTTTGCCATTTTTATTTTGTGTTTTGTCTTCTTTGTCCTTATTTTGTTTAGTTTGATAAGTTCTTTTAAGCTCAACAGATTATTTTGTTTCTAGCTTTGTGAATTTAAGACCGTTTTGGGCTTAATAAAAGAAAATGACATTGGTTCCTGATGTCAGGTCGTGTTGGATTATTATGATTGTATTTTGTAGGTTAAAATATTAAAATATTGCTGGGTAGGGCTGATTCGAGGAGAAGATTAAAAAAATTGAGAAGACTGAATTGAATATGCTGGGCAATAGGAGATTTCGTCATGTCATCTAAGTTGCATTGTCTCAGCCTATATCTGGATATGCACTCACACATGATACTTAAATGTTCATAGTTTGGGAAAGAGCTCTGGCGCATATGAGAAAAATTAAAAACATCTGTTGAACTCTGGTACCGTATCATCTTAATTTTCAGTCATCCTCCAGTCACAGAGAAAAAGCAGCAGAGGCTGTCCACTGTAAGTCCTCTTCTTCACCGAAACAGTGTTACTGTTATGAAATAGTTTCATTCCTTCACACGTTACAGTTTTTGGTTTTGTGTTGATGGGAAATCTTCCAGAGTTTGAAGGATTTCAGTGAATTTAAATGATTCAGTCTTCTTCGTTTTTCTTTGATTTTGTAAAGAATATGAATCTTTCCTGTGGAGGTTTGTATTTGAACATTACACTTTTATGTATTGCTAGATTTACTGGTCTCTCCCATTCCCCACCTCTCCCTAAACAATTTACAAAGCCGGTCGGGTGTAAAAGTAGGTCCAGGTGAACAATTTTAGTATATTTTAAAGTTTAATGAGTTAGTTTCATCAATGCTGCTTTTCATTATTAATTTATGTGTGTTTGTTTTAACGTGAATTTGTATATATGGCTTCCATTACTTGAAAATTGGATGAACTGAATGGTTTTAAAAATTAAAAAAAAAAAATATTAATGTTACTGAAAAGTTTTCAGATTACTTTAAGAATGAGAATTTAGATGGTCTCGATTCACATGACATGAAAAATGATATATAATCACTAACATCAAGTGTTGGTTGTAGTATTACTGAACCAGAAACTTTGATATTTTTATGGAAAGGCTCATTCATAGAGATACTTAATTTTTTTAATTAATAAATTTTTTTTTTTATACAGACATGTCAGAAGGCAGTGGTCCTGGCACAGCTGACCTTGAAAATGGCAACCAGGGCATATCAATGGTTCATGTGAGCATCCCTAATCAAGGCATACAGGTACAACCAGTCATTCAGGCAAACCAACAATCTGTTATCCAGAGTGCCGGAAATCTTCAGACGATCCAAGTTGTTCGGGTAATGTTACTGGATTTTTATTCTGTGATGTTATGTTTTTAGGTGAGCACCCTTTATAGAAGGAACCACTGTCAAGTCAAATTGCAGCGGAATTTATATGGTGTCTTGCCTGTACTAAAAATTCAAGATGATGAAGCAACAATGTATATAATGACACATGTTTATATCAGTATTGTCACAAGTGCTAGGTTGAGCCTGCAAGTAATTGAAACAAAATTAATTCCATTCCCTGCCTGCTGCATTTATAATGTGTTATCTATAGGCACTACAGGCTTCATTGTTTTAATTTCACTCAAATTAAGAGGATGAATCACAGGTGTAAAAAGGAAGTGAAAAGTAGCCTTTCTCTATAGAAAGTCACAAAACTCTTGTTTGATTCATGGTTCAAAACAATGAGCTAGCAATTACAATTGTGAAAAAAGAGATATATTGACATTATAATAGTATAACTTATACACATTAAATTTTTCAAAAATTTCTTTGAGTGGGATAATTTTGGGAAGTAAATGACAATATGAAACCATCATAGTTTTGCATTGTGCACAGAAAATTTGAGTGGCATCTGATGGTTAGTTTTTTGTCTTAAAGATTGAATGTCTTTCAGTTTAAGGCTGCTTTGTTTAATAATTTATTTTCTTTTAGCTTGGCGGTTTTAAATGTGAAGTCATCTGTAGCTACCTCATGTGATGTGATGTGCATGAGTCCCACCCTCTGAAATGTAAACTTCTATTTCAATTTTGATTTTTCATTTTGGCACAGGTTGCAGCTGTTGATGAAGATTTGTCATCAAGTGATTCTGACGCAAAGAAAAGACGAGAAATTTTGACCCGAAGGCCTTCGTACAGGTAAATTGTGCTCAAATGTTTATCTTTAAAAAATAAAAACGTAGTTCTAATTTTTCTACTTCATTTGGCATCAGTACTCTTTACCTTATATATATATTTTTTAATGGTATGATTTCAGTTAAGCAGTAGAGAGTCTCTGCTTTACATATGGATAGTAAATTCTTGTATCAGTAAACAGCAGGAGAATGTCTTGCCAAAATGCAGAAAGAGCATTTAGTAGAGGTGCTGCAAGTTGTTGTTTCGTTGTTGTTTTTTCTTCAGATTTTATCTTTTAAGAGACTTTCATTATTGAAAAGTTTTTTTTCTATTGTGGTCATCAGCAGTCTTCATTAAGGTTTATTTTTAAGTTTGGTGTGGTCCTGGCTTTTAAAGATAATTCTTCCAAGTATTTTCATCTGATCCGAGTTTATTTGCTGTTTTTTTTTCCTTAGGAAAATTTTGAATGAGCTGTCCTCTCCAGTATCCAAAATGGATGATGATTCAAACAGTAGTCAAAGTCAAGACGGCCACGATTCATGTAAGCTGTTGCTAGTTGACTGTTCAGTTCTTTCCTTTAAGACACAATTCATAAATATCTGACTGGTATGTTAAAGCATGAATAGTGCATTTGGAGTGTTTTTGTAAAGTTGCTAGGGCTAAGGAAGTGTGCAAAGTGCAAATTTCAGTTTGGGGTTGTGTTATCGTGGTTGTTGAAAGTAAACTGGTTAAAGAACAGCATCTCATATTTTTCATTAGTTTTTTTCTACTTGTCTTGATGCAAGGAATGTGTATTATGCAAAATAATTTTTTAAAAAATATCTAGACCTAAGCCTGAATGTAATTTGCCTTGTTTTTCTCTCGCCACTTTCATTCAACTTGGAGACAAGACGCTCAAATAGAATGTGCTTTCAGATTAAATGTGGTTTTTTTTTGGTTGTATTTTGACAGATGTCCAAACAAATGCTCTACAACTGACTGCTCACGGTGATGCTACTCCTGCTACTCAAGGTCTTCAAACACTAACAATGACAAACGCTAGTCCAACCTCAGCCTCAAACTCCACGGGTGGAACGACTATAGTACAGTATGCTCAAGGACCTGATGGACAGTTTTACATACCAGGTAAGGAGAACACAATTTGGAAACTTGGTAAAAGTTTGACAGTGCATGCAGCTGCATAAGGTCATTTGAGCGTGTAAGTTTTGACGATAGTTCACAGCACGGCTTGCTTTTTACTTTGTAAATCGCAATAGTTGAAGTATCTAAAAAATACACAGTTAAAATCCATTGGTATAATGACAGTAATTTTTAGGTTTAAAATAACCTTTTTTTACAGTTTGCTGTAAAGACCAATGGCCTTTATAAAATTGAGAATTCTATTGGGATCAACGATTGAGAACAATTTTGAAAGACATAATTTTTGCTGATGACTGTTGATGAGTTGATGAGGATACATTTAGATTGCAGTACTACTGTGCTATAGTTTTGTATATTTGTGTATTTAATATTTTTGGGACAACATCTGGCAACGAAGAGGGAGAAAAAAAGTTGGGCTATTGTACCAATAATTTCAATTTTTCGTTGTACTGTAATTTGCAACAAAATGAAATCTGTTCGGCATTCACCTCATACATTGACATCAAGTTAAAGGATTTTAAAATTATTATAATGTGTTTAAACTTAGACTGGACCTGTGTCTGATTTTTCCAGTCGGTGGCACAAATGTACAAGCCTATCAGATAACAGCACCAGGGTCATTAGCTCAAGGTGTTGTCATGACGTCAGGGAGTCCCATTGCAAGTCCTCAACACATGTCGGAAGAGGGCTCTCGGAAACGGGAATTACGACTTTTGAAAAATAGGTATGCCTTGTGTTCGTCTTTTGCTGGAAAGTCACTGAACCCTGCCTGCTGTTTGCTTATCAACTACCCTTGCCTGGTTAATTTAGGAATGATTAAAAATGTCTTAACCTGTATTAGACCTGCCTGTTTGCCGACAATCATCTGAAATCCGACAATCGCGACCCGACCCGCGAGCCGGCCGATCCTATCGCTAGGCCCACCAGTATCAGTCAATGTGCGTAGTGCGAGGCCTTGGCCGACTGCCAGCGCCCCCCTTTTTCTCCCGTCGGCTTTGTCGGCACTTTCGTTTTCGTGCCGACGTCGGCGTTTCCGACATAATTGTCGGAACCTGAGTAGAAATGCTAATACGAAAAAGGACGACGACCTAAATTATCTACTTTCAGTTTCGTGCTCGAGCGGCCATTTTGAATTTCGTTTGTTGACTAATTCAATTGTTCAGATCGTGTGGATTCATTCAAGTCCGACTCACTTGTTCTAATAGAATCTTGATTTATATAGATCATTATAGACTTCAATGGAGGATTCATATTCCAATTCTATTGTGTCAAACCCTATCATAGGTTGTGCTGTTATATTAATGCAGGTTAAAAAGCATTTCATCAGGTGCGTGAATTATTTATTTATTTTGATTCTAGACTCGGCTGAGTCCCTCTGTTCGGAATCGGGTGCGGATTTCTAGTTCAAGGCCTATTCCTATTCACTTGTTCTACAGGATCTAGATGTAGTCTAGATTCTAGATATATGTAGATTTCTAGATCTATATGGAGGATTCATATTCCAATTCTATTGTGTTATTGTATCAAACCCTATTATAGCAATGTAGATGTAGGCCATATTATATGCTCCTTGTTTGTTTTGGAGTGTGGTTTTTAATTTTTAAACGAAGTGGCTAGTAGTACGGCTAGACTGAGAGTCTAGCCATACTTAAGTACGGCTAGACTGCTAGTCTAGCCGTACTTACCTAGGTTTGGCCCTATCGACTCAAGCCTGTTAAGTACACAAGTCTCATTAGATCTAGATCTAGTAATTATTCAGGTTCAAATACATGCAAGTCAGTAATGTACCTTTTGGTTTTGTCTGAAATACAAATACTTTAGGCACTGCAAACTAAAAATTTCATTTACAATTAAGCCATCAATATTAAGTACGGCTAGCCTGACAGTCTACCCGTACTTAAGTACGGCTAGACTGCCAGTCTAGCCGTACTTAAGTACGGCTAGACTGCCAGTCTAGCCGTACTTATCTTAGGCCCTATTAACATTAGAAAACAGGAGGTTTAAAATACATGCATTGTCATTTAAAAGGCACCTGGTTTCGTCTCAAATACACAAATACTTTAGGTACTGCACACTAAAAATGTATATTTACAATTCAGTAGGCCTATTTTTTGTAAATGGTCAGTCTAGCCATCTTATTAAGAATAAGTACGGCTAGACTGCGAGTCTAGCCGTACTTAAGTACGGCTAGCCTCTTCCATTAAAAAATTTTTAAAAAAATTTTTGACTTGTGCTGGCCTTTTTACATGAGGCTCATTGCAGGTTCTTTTTTTGGGGTTGGCCTAGGGGTAGGGTTAGAGTTAGGTCTCTTCTTTATTATGTTTGTTGGGGTTGTCGCCACTCGTTACTCGGAAGTCTTTCCTTATGACACCCACAAAATTGTCAATTGACAAAAGCTCTTATGGGGGGGGGGGGGGGGGGGGGTGCGCAAAATTTTCAGACAATCTGGTTGAGGCTCACATGCAGGTCTACTGTATGTTAATCTGTTCAATATTTGATTTTAAAAACCCATTCTTTTACCCAATTCCTGCCTAGATAAATTGAAGTGTAGTGCTCTGCGAAATCTCTTAGTTGCAACTTCTGTTGTCTTCAAATTTTGAAGATTTAGAAGAAAACTTGGTTCAGTCCAGTTTTTCCTCTGTTCTTTGTGTAGGAATAATTGAGAAAAAGAAAATACATCTTTAAACCCCTTGACTGCAAATTTCATACAGTGGAACTCGGATTCAACGAGGTCGCCAGGCCTGATCTAAATTCTAGTTGAATCCGAGTGTTCGTTATAGCAAACACGAGGTTTTGTGTAAATAAGATAATTACAGGTACTGAGCAAGTAATGTATAAAGAGAAGTCACAAGTAGTGCTTGAAATGCCTGCATATTGTGAGCTGTGTAAAAATAAGACCGATTTGTTCGAATGCCCACGCCTGTGTCATCTCGATTGTTTACCAAAAGCTGTGTTGCTGTATAGAGCCTAGCATACGGCAACTTTTAATTCCATGGACCAGCGCACAATTTATTACGTACATCTACGTCGAGGCTAGCTTACCATTGTAATAATGATCAGTTGCAGAGGGGGGAAAAAGCCTGTTCCGCGTTTGTATCCACGACGTTCAATGCCCGGACTGCTAGTGTCTCCCCCCCTCCCCGATACGCATGCACACACAGCCACACGGGTGCAGACCGCCCATCCGACCCCGACACACGCCAGAGTGGACACGTGCGCGTGCCAACAACGCATGTGTTGGAATGAAAAAAGGCCGCTGATTGGTTGCATGCAATCGGCCAAGTGAATAATGGTTCCCGATGCAGGTGCAATGAATGGTTTCCGGAAATAGATAAAGTTCGTTCTGAGAGAGAAATGAGCGAAGCCATGTCTGCAGGGGCTGTTCACTCTGGAAGCGACCTGGTTGAATCCGAGCTCGCTGATTTAAGTTCTTGTTGAATCCGGTTTATTTTTGTTTATTTTAAAGAAGGAAAAAACCAGGGAATCTATCTCATCTTGTTGAATCCGAGCTCGTTGATTCAGAATTCCACTGTATACACCCCAGATGCTTAGGAAAATTTCCGAATGTGCATGACATTACAGGGCACAATCTTTAACCCGGGTTTATGTCGCCCGATAAGCCTTTTTCGGCACCTCGCCTACGTTCTGGTCCCGAATCAGTGTAGCCCCTGGCTCAGCGCACGCGCAGCGCGCATCCTTTTACGTGTCATTCGGGTCTCGAGTCGGATCCCCATTCACGCAGGTCAAGTGTGTGTGCGTCAGTCTGCTTGAGTTTGTGTGCGTTTGTGGCCTTCTTCTAGAACCACCTGCGTTGGTTCGTAATCGAGGCATATGTCTCATTCAAAACATGCCAAGTTGGTAGCTCTAGATGTTCGTCCAATGAAATTATAGAAGAAATTGACCCACTTAGACATGAGGAGCTCGAAAAGATAGTCAGGAAACAAGACCTCCATTTTTCTATACAAAATATTTCAAATGAGCTTGATTTTGTATGAAATGATACCTGATAAAAAATAAGCTTGTTTGATAGTTTTGAATACCAAAGTGCAGGTGCAAAGAACAATTTGAGTGTAAATCATTAGGAAATTGACCTAAATTATCCCCTTTCGAACCTCAAGTCATTCATAACAACAAAAGCGTTCAGAAAGGTTATTCGAATGGGCGTAACTACTCGTAATGTCTTATCAGCTTGTGAGAGGGGGTTATTCATGTGTTTGTAACACTTTATAAATAGAAAGCTATGAAAGATAGAACGTTATTTTCTTCATCGGTTAACACACTCCTGCGGTATTCATGGCAAAAACACACATTTCCCGTTGAAGTCGTTTCTTTGGTTTCCATGTTTCTACTAATTTCCTGTTTGGGTGGTTGGGGCACATTCTTTTGGTTCTTTCATGAAGCTCCAAAACTGCTTTATCTCTGCATATTCCCAGGGGTTCAACATTTGACAGAATTTCACATGCGGCAGTAGGTGTAGATCTCATGCCACCATTAATGAAACGAAGGGCATTATTTTGGACCTTGTCAAGGGTATTGCAAGTAGTTGCACTACACATAGTGAGTAGGCTATAGCTGTATTCCAGGGAAGATCGGACATAACCAAGGTATAGAGCTCTCAAAGTTTGTTTGTCTGATCCCCATGAACTGCTCGCAAGTTTCTTTAAAAGTTGGAGTCTTGTTTTCGCCTTGTTCTTTATGCTCTCCACTTGGCTTTTCATTGTTAGACTTTTTTCAAGTTTGACTCCTAGATACGTTGGTTGTTCTTCTTTGAGGAGATTTTCATTTCCTATCTTCAGTTGGAGTTTTTCTTTGGCTATTTTATGGCTCTTTGTAAAGATGGTGTATACTGTTTTCGAGCAGTTTATTTTGAGCTTCCATTTCTGACAGTAATTGTGGAGCCTCTTGAGGTCTTCATTTAATTTTCCTGCTCCTACTACCGTGCTGTGATATGTCTGCCAGAGAGCAAGATCATCAGCGTAGAGAGTCTTTTCTGATTTCAGCACGTTCGTCACATCATAAATGAAGATCAGGAACAAAGTGCAACTCAGACAGGAACCTTGGGGTAGGCCCTCCTCGAGTACTTCACTTGACGAGTGGGCATTGTTCACCTTTGTTTCGATGTTTCGATCCGCAAGGAAAAACTTGATCCATTTATAAAGTTTCCCGTGTATCCCGAGGTCCATCATTTTCATGAGTAGGCCTTTTCTCCACCCTCTGTCATACGCCTGTTGGAGATCTACAAAGATGGCAACAGTGTGTTTAGTCTCCTGGAAACCATCCTGGATGTCTTTTCAAATTTGTCTAGATCTAGAGGAATGACCAATTCAAAGGTTCTACGGCAGGGGAAAGCGATAAGGGCCGCGATGAAAGAAATTTATGCCAAGACTTACTAAAATCAAGAATAATTCGAAGTGGTGTTCCGGGGTTGTGACACGCATCATTTTTTGTACAAGTTTTTACGGTGCTCCTGCATAAGGTCATATGAGCGCGCTCATGCAACATTTAGATGTGAAAATTGAGGAAAATTAGGGTATACGCTGGGCAACCATATTGTGAAGGTACACGAATATCTATTCATTATTCTCAGGTTTGCCTTCTATCAATGGTGCAATGGCAAATTAATTGAATTATTATTGTAGCAATGGAAGGAGAACCTGCTTTTTAACATTGCCAGCAATGGAAAGATATGTAGGTGAAGAAATCAAACAAGACAAAATGTTGGCGAAAAAGTAAATGTTATAGGACGTAGGCTATCTCTTCAAAGAGACTCCCAAATGCCATTTTCAACCCTCTAAAAGCACTAAATTTCTATTTCTTCGTGGCTTTGCCCTCAGACACACCCCCGCAGAATTTTCCTTACTTTTCAGCTTCAGCTGGTGGAAGCACTGGGGATGAATTCTTTATATCCAAATGTTATGACTGGAAGTTATATTGTCTAAATGGTCCAAATATTTTGGACAAACTGATATTGAGAACCAAAAACTATTGTAAAGGTCATGTAAGGTTAATGCTAAATTTGTATAGCATGTGGATCTCAGGTATGAACTTGTTTAAAAGGTTTATTTTGCAGATTGTTAAAAGTTTGTAAAAGCCTGTCATCTGATTCTTATGTTTGTTCATTTTCTTTTCAGAGAGGCAGCCAGGGAATGTCGACGAAAGAAGAAGGAGTATGTAAAATGTTTAGAAAACCGTGTAGCTGTCTTAGAAAATCAGAATAAAACTCTAATTGAAGAATTGAAGGCCCTCAAAGAACTCTATTGTCAAAAGGATGCATGACTGTAAATGTCATATTTTTTGTGCTCCGTAAATCCAAAAGAATTTTCTTTTGGCATACTTCCTGTGTGTCAGAATTTGGTGGAAGACAGTTCGCTTTGCTGCTCTGGCACACCTAAAAAGCACCTGGCTTTTTCAAGACCAGTGAAGCTTTTTTTTATAAATGAAGGGAAGGTACTGAAGAAGATGGCCTAGATGAACTGACAGGCATGGTCAATGCAAATTGTCCACTGGGATTGCTGTTTGTTCCCGACGTTTAGTACAATGACAATTTGTACAAAAGTATTTGTCTCAATTTTTTTTCCGATTGTGAGATACTTGGCTTGGCTGTGATGAAGTCGTTTTTGTTCTCTATGTTTTTGTAAGTTCTTGAAGTGTTTAAGTGTTGCACCATTTTAACTGTTGAAAAGCCTTAAAAGTCCAATGAAAAATTCTGCATTGATATTGCTTGTGTGTTTGAATCTGATGACACAGATTGTGTTTACATCCATTTCTACACCTGTTGTCCCAAATATTCTGACATCCAGCATAAATGGTCACTTTTTTTTGTATATAAGTTTTCAAATCACATTAAAGTGATTGCTTCCTGTGAGCAAGTGGAATAGTAGGTACAGGTTTAGTTCTTGTGCAGTAATATAGTGTGGATGGTTGGCAGGTGCTCTGGTGTGGTTTGCTCCGCCCCCTGTCAAACATCTTATCGTCCCGATCTCTCCTCCTTTTCTGTGCATGTTACTTTTTAGTAACACCTAATCTTTGGCACTTATTGACCTATTTGTGTTGCAAGTTCCGAAAAACTCGTGCTGAAACTACATTGTAATTCAGTGGTGACTAATTTGAGAAACTTGTCCTCCTTGTAGCCTCTTTTTAGCCTTATTTCCTTTCTAGTTCTAGTCTTCATTATTTGATGTTTCTTAAGTACTCTTGAAATTGTTTGTAGAGAGAAAGATGTCTTTTTTTGGAAACTGAATCTGTTGATCCTTGTAAACAAATGGCTTGTTAAATTTGCTGCAGTTTTATGGAAGTGACTTTTGATCACAGGCAGAGCATCGCATAAGCTTTGTATATTTTACTTTGTGCCAGCTTACGTGCTGTTTCTTTTATTTCATTTTTTGTCTCCTTTTTTCTTTGTCTTTTTTTTTTTATACATTAAAAAATTTGTCAAGCACACACATAGTGAACAGGTTTGTACAGGTCCCAAATTTTTCTTATATGTTCCTTGTATTCAAAACAGAAACATAGTGCAAACAATTTGTGTATATCGAAAGAAATTAGCACCGATGAGGGTATATCTAATTCTACATGACTGCAAATTTCTTTTACGGAATTAGCTATGATGGGGGCGGCCACACGGCATGATGTTACGTAGGCCAACAAGCTTTTTACAGGACTAAGCTGAAGGATATAGTGTTGGCCAAGGATATAGTGTTGGCCAAGGATGTGTTCACTGCACACGTCACAGAAGTGGAAAGTGGTAGGCTGGATCTAGTCTGCACACTCTAGTTGTGTGTGGGAAGTCTGTGGTCGTGTGAAGGCACATATCTAGTATTGTTGCCATGTTCAACAGAGATTAAACATGATTCAACAGCTTGCTGGCATTGGGCAGAGTCGGGTTTAGGTGAAATTGTAGAAAGTGGACAATGGCAGAGTGAAAGAAGCAGAAAGGCTTCTCAGTTGAAGAAAAACGGCTGATGCTAGCAGAGTTGAATAAAAGAAAAATCAATGACAAAAACCCAAATCTGCAGTTCTTGGTGACTGTGAAGCCAACACACAGGTTGGCAGGGAGGGGGGGTCAAAATTCATGTTAGATTTTGACCCAAATGTCCCACTTCATCGCCTTTGATATAGCCTGAAATTCATACATAGCGAAATTATATATAACAAAAAGATTTCTGCAACCGACAGATTTCATTATGTGTGTGCTAGACTAATTTTTCTATTCAAGTTTTGTTCCATGCATACGCCTTTGAACACATGTTGATGTTGCTTAATTGTGTGTCTGTTGATTAGCTTTCTCATTTTCTCTAATGTGCTGTAGAAGAGGAAAGACAAGTGTACACAATGAGTGTATTCTTACTCCTGAAATCCATATCATATTCATTTTGTGAGAAAAGTCTTGTTGTTTTAATGGGATGTTAAGAAATATGTTGAACTGATTCTGTTTAAAATGCCTCAACTTTTGGTGTGTTTGGTATTCTTTTGTCTTTGATTGTTCTTTATGTTTACTCTGCATCTAGTTTTGAGTTTGTTCAAAAGTTGTTCTTGCTTCTTTTTCATGTATTTTGAAGGACATGATTATCTTTGGAAGATATCATGCCTCATGAAATGTAGGTGTGGGTTGGGGAATTAGAACAAGGTACCGGTACTGTTTGTTTAACAAGTATCCAGGTTCAAGCAACATCTTAAGTGTACAATGTTTCTAGAGGATTGAAAATGGGAAATTCCAGAGGTATTTCTAGCTGACTGACTTATTTTGTTGAAAAGACAAGAGTAGTCGGGATATAAATCTCAGCTTGTAGGTGAAAATTAAAAAAATCTTTTTTGACTAATTGCAAGCAGCATTTAAATTAACATGACATTTCAAAAAGAGTTATTTTAATTACATCCTGGCTTTGTTCTTGTGGGGAAAAAGTAACTGGAAGAAGTTAAGCAGGGCATACCTATCCCCGATGTACATTTTTCAAAGTAGTGGAAGACGCATAAAGCTCTAGATTAGAATGCAGATGGCTTGGGGAGGTTTCAGATTTGTAGTTATTATTTTTAAACTATAAATGCTGTACAGCAAGCAAACAGTCATTAGTTTCCGTGTTGACTCCATTTTCATAGTTCCAAACGTGACCTTTTTTTTGGACAATGAAAGTTTGTTGCTTATTAGTTTAGTATACACGCACACACGCACACACTTACATACATATATATACATATATATTTATTAATTTTACAGTATATGTATGTATGTGCACGTTTTCTTGATTTTTTTTTTTCATTTTTTTTTCTTCATTCCTTTTTATCACCCACTTTGGTTTCCACTTTATCTTTTGGTATGGTAAAGTGTAATTTTTTTTTCTAAGGAGTGAGTAATATTTGTCTATGCCTATAATACCTCGTCCACCTTTGTGAGAAAGTTGCCCTGTGTAAAATTCAAGTATGACTGACAATTCATGGGTTATGAAAGTTGAGTGGCATTTGTTGAATTATTTATAATATAAAGTTGAAGATGATAATATATCAATGGTTTATATGTAAATGGACAAAAAAAAAATTTAGAATTATCTTTTGCAAAGTGTTTCTTTACTTTGCATCTGTGCCTCTGGAGTTTCTGACTTTTTGTAATGTTGAAAGAAATGGGTATGAGTTGATAATTGTCTGTGTGAGAAAGGTAACGGAGAAGGAGATTGTGTCAACTTTCTTTTTCTCTCAAGTTTGTGCTTTGAATGTGGTTAGAGTCCACTCTTGTTCAGGGGAAGGGAGGTGTTCGATAATTTTGCTTTTGCACGTTTTCCAGAATAATATGGGTGGAATTTTTATCCACCTCAGTGAGACTTTTTGAATATCTAAGGACTTACAGCAAATACAAAGGTCATGTGTGCTTGCATTACAGAATTAATTTCAAGAGATGCTATAGCAATCTGATAGTGTTTTGACCTCCATACAATAAATCTGTAGTACCCTTGTTTCACACACCTGAGATCTGTCATCAATATCCCAAGTGCTCCAAACAGGCAAAGGCTGGGCTGTTTTTTTTGGTGTAAAGTGTTTATTCTGTAATAGATTCCTAGGAAACATTTTGATGGGATTCCACAATTAATGCTAATCGTCTTGTCAGATAGAAGAATTGAAATAATGTTTCAATAATTGTGTGTGCTCATGTTTTTTTAAGCAGGTCTACAAGAGTTCTGGTCACACTCATAGTTGGTTGTTTTAGTATTCGTACTGTTGTCAGCTTGTGACTTTCTTTATTGTGGTTTTATTTTATGATGTTTTAGAAAAGGCATGCTGCATGCTTTTGCTCTGTCTGATGTAAGAGTCAGTTTGTTTTTTTTGGGGGGGTCTTTTTTAATTTTAGTTGCAAGCTTTGTAATCTGTTTTGGATTGTTAATGGGGGTATTGTCTTTTGAAAGTTGAATGGAAGATGAATTGAATAGCCTATTATTATTACTGGTTCAGCATATTACTTGAAGACAAGGCTTAGGGCCTGGATGTAGAGAGCATGACCTGGGTCCTGTACATCAGGCACATGGGGAGATTGTTTTAAAGGAGACGTGAAGATATGGAGTACAACTTGTATCCACCATGCCCTGTGACATTACATTCCTGCGGATACGTTATTGTGATCCCCTGGACTTGTCTGGTTAATTTATGTAATGCCTGTAAAGGGTGTCTCAGGAGCTCCTACTTGTTGGAGTTTGGTGTTCAGGTTTGAGTTTTCTGGCCAGGCAGCTGGACTTCTTAGCAGAGAATGGTGGGGGAACTTTCAGGGCATGTTTGCGTGTCTTATATTTTTCCTGCACTACATAGGCCATCTGGGTTGTGGGACACCCGTGTTCTGATGTGTGTGAGCTTTGTCTGCAGTGTATTGTCCTCAGTCCAGATAGTCTCAGTTGCGACCAAAGTTCATATCCTCAGATCAGCTTGTATTGTGGTAGTCTTTGACTTATCTCCTTTCTGTCAGCTCTCTTCACAAGTAACTAAAAAGTCAGCCCTAGTCAAGCAAAGAAACTGGAATGATAGCTTGCACAGAGTGTAGTTTGAGTAATGGCTTCCTTTTTGTGGGTTGCTGTTGAGTGAGATTATACAAGAATGGTTGATTTCAATCCACTTATAAAAGATACGTGCCCGCACTGATTTTCAATCTCACATTGACGGTACTGAACTGACTGTTGTTAATCAATCCTAGAGGGAAGGTAAAATGTTATTTAGTGTGGTTATTAAAATTTGAGGGCTTATTGAATACTTTTGTTAAGCATTACATCATTTAGCATTGTTATATGTACAGAGATTGACTGTTTGTAGTAAGTTTTGCATGGCATGGTTATTTGGGCTAACACCCTCCACAAGACAAGTATTGAGCAATGTGAGGAAAGGCAGACTGCGGAAATTAAATCCAGCTATTGGTTGAATGGGTTGTTTTGAAATGTCTTGTTAGGAGGTCTGATCTCATTTATTGTTTTTGCTAAAGTCATGTGTGGCTGGAACTTTGTCAAATGTTTCTCAGGAGTGTAGAGAGTTATTTAAGAACTTGCCCAAGAGACCTTCATTTATGCTAATAGTCAATGTGTGTGATACATCAGTTCTGAGGTATCACAGAGCAAGACAGTTGTATAGAAAATGCTCTATACAACAGGCACTCTATCCGCTTGTAAAAGATGTTCATGAATTTGTTGTACACTTTTAATTGGTATGCCTGAGAATGGTACTGAGGTGTGAAAGGGGCTGATAGTAAAGGTGACTGCAGAATTGTGTGGCAGGCATACCAACATGAAACTGATTAGATAAAAAGGACATTTTGTCACTGTAGAAACATCTGCCATATCTGTGTAGCAGATCAATGAGTTTGAGACTCCTTGGTCAAGGTAGTTGTTGTCCAGATGGATATTGCATTCAGTGTTGAAGTCTCAGGCTTCAGAAAGTCCCTCAGGTTGTTGTTCTGATGTGTCAATGAACTCATGTGCCAAGGGGGTGGTACTGTGTAGAGGGTTAGTACCAAGCTGAACATTCCATAACTATGTGTGTGGAACTTTGTAACGGAAAATACTACGCACTCAAAAAATTCTCTTGCTTTATCAAAACAGATTCTGATCTCCCCAAGTTTCTTGTAGCAGAGATCGATCTATTCCCGTATGTCTTGTTTGTTCTCTGAATCTGAAAGTTCATTTTAATTTGAGTGTATTTAATATTGTACTTGACTTGTTTGTTGATCTGAAATTAATGAGACATAAAGTATTCTTGAAACTAAATTCAATGCGTTTGTATTTTGTGGTTTTTATGCCTCAAGAAATATTTATTGTATTACTAGACCTGCTTTATAAAATCCTTCTCCCAGTGTCACGGATTAGAGCATTCCTTTCTAAGATTGTATGGTGCTCAACATAAATCTGCTGTAGGTTTATGGCGCATGGCTACCACTGCGGAATAAGGAATGTAATTTGAATGTGTAATTCAGTCTTTGAGAATATGAGAAGTCATCAGAGTGACATTGCTCTGCTACTGAAATTAATAGTGAATATGTGAAATTACTAAACATTGGATTGGACGGTCTTGCTTTGCAAGACAAGGCTGTTACCAGTACAGAACTGTGGAAGCCAATACATTACAAAACCCAGAAATTGGAAGATCAATAGTCTGAGTTGTCTTTGATTTGATTCAAGGAAAAAAATGATTACCCGCCCATACCCATATTGGGCACACAAGTGGCTTGAAGACACGTTTGCTTGAACTGAGATTCAAGTTCCAGTTTTTACTAGATCTAGAGTATTCGCAAGTGAAAAATAGATAAACTAATCGTCAAAATTCTTTTTGGTTTATAGGTAATCAGTTGTTTTCTACAAAGACAAAAATCTGGGATACTCATTTTCTGTTTTCTTCTTACAGGTTACCATTATTTGAAGTTTTTAAGTGATCTCCATTGTAGAAGTAGTAGGCTGTTGTCAAACTCCTGTCCTGCTCATTGCAATCACCTGCTCAAACGACTGATTCCCACTTCCCCCTTGCATTTTTAGATATTACAATGACACTATTCAAGAAACTCACCGGACTAAGGGTGAGGCCACATTACAAGCGTTAGCTGTGGCTTGCATGAAGAGATGAGCGATAAACTTGGAGGTGACCATACAAGGAGCTGCTTTTCTCAAGCAGGAAATAGGGGGCAAGCTAGCGGGAAAAAGCCGAGGTGTAAACTGGTGTGTTGACGGGCGTGTTGGGTCTCTGTTTAAGTCTTGGTGTTCTTTATTCCAAAGAAGAGGTTTCTCTTGCTTGCACATAAACTCAACTGTTGTGTTGACTTCCATATATATATACATGTATTGAAGTGTCAATTTGATTAAATTTATATAATTATAATAGATTTAAATTGTGATACCAGTTGAAGTGCAGCTTCAGATCTTGAACTTAAAGCTGGTTGCAGGAAATAGTGTGAAGGTAAAAATAAGATGTTTGAATGAACAGTACATGCGAAGTGGGCTCGGGAAGCGGCACAAGACACTCCTATCAGGAGGTAATAGAACATGTTGATGTGACCCATGAGCGGCGATGCCAAGGCCGAGCGGGAAGAGACGAAACGTAGTGAAATTAAATAGCCCATAGCAAAGATGCCAACCAGTACGATTTTACGTATTTTAGTACGATTTTTTGCCGAAAATATGCAAATACGACTTTTCATGAAAAAATACACTGGAATGCGAAAAATATGAGATTCAGCTTTGGCGAGTAAACCTAATTATCTCAAGTCCCTCTTTTATCAAAATAGTATCAGTATCGCAGAACTGGAATAATATTTGAAAACCAAGTCCGATGTGGTCAGTAAGTTCATTTTTGCCGGTAACACCAGAGGACAAAAACTTGGAAGCACCTTTCTGAATTTTGATTAGAGCTTTCTGCAAAGCGTGCGTTGGTGCAGGCCGTGTGCAGAATCGGGACTCCTCACACTTTGCAAGTCTGTGTTATTGAAATAAAGTGTTCGCGTTTCATTGGATGGGTGATAGTAAATTATATTTACTAGGATGGGTGATAGTAAATTATACCTACGGTGTATGTTGTAGCTTTCTGTTCAAGATTGGCAGATTTTCAGTGTCACTGCATCTTGCCCTACCACAGTTGTTACAACTCTCACAGTGCACGGGTCTACTTGAGCCATTCTCAAGTTATTGCTTTTCTCTTGAGTTGAGCAATAATTTGAGTCTGTCAGTTCATAATATGAATCATGACACCCAGACTGGTTCTTGATAGTCGAAAATCTTGTTCTAGGCCCTTCCGAACTCTCAAAGCAGGATTTATTTTTTATAATAATGAGAGGGGAATATTATATAACAGACTGAAATACTTAAGTCAAACAAGACCCCTGTACGACATTGAACACTAACATGTTGTTGACTGGATACATGTATATTGTACGCGTGTTTGCTCCTTTTTTCGAGCTGGTGAGCTAGTAATTTTTTTTTAGGAAATATTGCTGGACACCCTGAACATTTTACTTTTACTGGTTGGTCGGTCGGTCGGTCGTGGGGAATACACATTTTCCTCTGAAAATACACATTTTCATATTTCCCAATACTCATTTCGGTTTCCTGTGGTTGGCATCTCTGCCATAGTCTTTCTCAAAGCTAGCGACGACTCGCGTTTGAATAGCTCATAGTATGGCCATTCAAACAGAAATATCTGTTTTATTTCTTCTCATTCCCGCTCAGCCCCGTTCTCTTGCTTGTAATGTGGCTTCATTCTATGAATAAGATAACCACTTTTCTCCTTGGTAGGTGGTTGCCTTGGACAGGTGTGATTGTATAAAATTAAAAAGAAAGGAGAGAAGTACAGTTACGTAACTTACAAGGTTGTGACCAGACCGTCAATGAAATGATGAAAACACATAACATCAAAACTGTCCAAACAAGATAAAAAATCTTTTAAATTATAGCAGAGTAGGCTCAGAATGATAGTACAATTAACAGGCCATTTGTATCTTCCTTCACCCTTTGACGGATGGGCATCCAGAAAGCACCCCTTCATTAATTTTTTTTTTTTTAATGTAGAGACATTTTTAAGTCACCATCGACACAATTTAGATCATTTAGGGAGCAGTCTTCTGACGCTACCTGTCAGGGATGATACGGATACAACATCAGAGCAGCAAGACTTGAGATACTCGATAAGTTTTTTTTCTCCCCATTCAAGTCTCCTGCACTGCATGTGGCCTTTACTGTTCACCAGAAAAGCCAGTACTCCTTTAGGGCACGGTAAATCCTGGCGTTTTAACCTTGCTCACAGTCACGAATGCTGCATTGGGTAGTATTCAAATACTGTGCAGTCCACTAAAACCAAAACCTTTTTCCTTCAGATTTTCTTTGCTTTAGCTGGGTTTTCAGTACATGTGTGAGGCATTGTGGTGAAATCAGGCGCTCGTCAAAATAATAAAATCAAGGAAACTAGCATTTTTCCACTCGTTGGGCAATTTTATTTTAATTTTCTTTTTGCGCTCAACACTGTTTATGTCCATTTGAAAACACATTAATTTCTGTATGACTTTACTGAAAAACATTGATTACAGGCACAAAAAATGTAAATGTTCAGTTTTCAAGGCCTCTCAATCTACGGAAGTTACCAAACTTTGGTGGTCATTTTCTCACTAATTTTACATCTGAAACTAGGCGACCTTCACATCCTTCATTTGCAAATATCTCGACTTCTGTTCAACATAGATGGATATTTTTTTCACCAAAAGCAAGGCAAATGAACAGGCTTTAAGACGATACCAAAAACCCCATATGCTAAAAAATTGACGATCGCCCGATACCAACATGTCGTGCCACAAATATAAGCAGCTCAAAAAAAATAATCGAGGATATAATTTTCTTTCGGTTTACCGTGTTTCCACATTAACCATGTTCGGTATAAGCGGACTCCACTGTATTCACGATCATATTTTTGAATATATGTATATATATAAAAACAATAGCAACAAAGACTGTAACATGGCAAATATTTATTCATGACAAATCTGAAATCACAAAGGCAACTTACTTTTATTTTACCTATCAGTGTTTTTCAGTTGTTTTCTTTAAAAAAAACCATTTTTTGTTGTGGCTCTCTATCTTTTGGTTCAGTCCTATCCTTCGGGGAAGAGCATCAAATTAGAGGTCCTGGCTTTGAAATACACAAACTGTGTTGAAAAGGGCATAATACCGGTATCATACCATTTATTTACATGTTGTCCGATACAGGAAAGAAAATTTACAAAACAATTATGATTTTAAAAAGCCAACAAACAATTCAAATTTAAAGTGTACAACAAAACAGATTACCGATGCAATGGTGAACATGAAGCAGCCTGTCTTTTTTCAATCGGTCCACATACAATGAATTTTTTTGAAATAAAAAAACCCACCAAAAGTCTCATTCGCACTTGTTCATTTTCACTCTTATCCATCTCAGGTATGAAGACAATGCTGCACATCAAAGAAATAAAAGATAGCATGTAAGTGAATTAGTTCTGTTTTCTTCTTATGCATAGAACATTCCTTGTCATGCACCATAATGCCGCTTTGAATTTAAAGACTTTGACCTAGCATTTTTTGCGTGCTTATTTTCGTAAAGAACAGCATATAAATTTAACTTTTGACTTTGAAAATGTTAATACCATTCAAATTTGAAATTGAGCACAGATAAAACTTTTACTTTTCGGAGAATCTAATACTTTCAGCAATTTAAGCTTCATTTCGGAAAAAGTCACGACTGTCACAAAACAAAAACCCAAACAAGTCGAAACGTTCTCCTGAGGAATGCCTTCACACTTCACATTTTGCTCTTGACTGTTACCAGTCGGCACTGTTGTGAGCCAGATAGTCCCTCCGTCCAATGCCAGACGCCTGTTTGCTCTGCATAGCCTGCAGTTTGGGACAGTCTGCGATTCTGTGGCCAAGACCTCCACAATAGGAACAACCCACTTCACCTGAAATAAAAAAAACCCAAAGTGTTACGTCCCGGAGGATACGAATGAGCACCAAGACCAAAGAGATCATCCATCATCAAGGCTACTATTTCAAGCTAGAGAAGTAAGTCCCCTATTGTGAACCTAACTTCAACACAAGAGATAAAAACTGGCACCGTATTATTAAACGTTGTAAATCACCAACTGTACATATCATAGCTGAATACATTGTAACACCTCCAGGTAAGTCTTATTTTATTTCAGAGCATAAAAAAAAGGAAAATAGTTTCTAAAAATCCTTATTTCTTCACAGATAGCTCTATGAAGGGCAGACACCAAAATGTGTATAAAGATAGATAGTCTCCCATATTTGAATTGGAGAACATAAGAACTCAGTATATCACAAAAAAACAAAACAAAACTGGGTGTTTTTTTGTTTTTTTTCAGAGGGTAAAAATTACACCATAAAATATATTCTCAGAAGAAAGCTGCTGTAAGGTTGCAGTCTAAGTAAGAATAGTTGACTATTATTGCCCCATTTTGCCAGGAACAGATTAGAATATGATAAAAACACTAAAAAGAAGAACACGTATGTAAATGGATAGAACTTTACCAGAATGCCCTCCAACTACCACTACTTCCAGTGATTATGAAAGACAATACACAAGTACTTATATAGGCACAAATAAATGAAAAGAGGAAGACCAAGATAAACTAAAAGGCTGACAAAAATTACAAACAAACTCAAACACCCCCAAACTTTCAGTAAAAGTTAAAGACAGACGGTTGGAAAGCACGGACCAACAGCATGTGCAGCAAGCAGTTACTAGACGCTGAACACTGAGTGGATCCGAAAATATTTTAAAAAAAACAATCAATATAAACAGTAGAAGTTATCTTTTTACCTTCAATGTCCAGGTATTTCTCCGTCTCTGACTCCATGGTGGCCAGAAAGGCCGGGACTTTCTGGTTCGCCTCGATCAGCAGGTGCTTCAGATCCAGCAAAATGGATTCGTCTGAAAGTCAAATAATGAACATTTATGTTCTGAGTTTTTGTTTCACAATACAAAATCAATTCTCTTCAGCAACAGGACCCTGATGCAATCATGAGTTGATGATGTTCGTTATTAAATGTTATAACGTAAAAGGTAAATACAAAATTAATTTTATCATGTTGAAAATGCACTCATACCCCAAACATTGTTTGCGACAATAAGACTCAAAGCAAAATTCATTTCAGCTTTTTAAAAAAGCAATCATAAGAAAATCTGATTTTAGCTAATACATGTAGTTGAGGAGTCCACGGAAAACACAGGAATAGTCACAAACTGAAAATCGTGAGGGCATCAATTTTGAACACTGGTTGACTCATAACTATCTCTGTTCAACTGTTGGTTGCTTATTGTTGCTAGATTTTCCAATCAAACAAATAGGAAGTTATGAGTCCACAAGCTATTAAAATTGACACCCTCACAATTTCCAGTTTGTGACTATGCCCATTTTTTTCGTGGATTCCTCAGTTGGGAACTGTATAGATCATGCTGTAGGGCATGGATATGCACTATATAAATGTAATTACAGTATAACACGGATAGCTCGAATTCCTTGGTACCGGCCTCGTTAGTTCGAGACATCAATAATTCGAGGGATAACTTACAAAGATATAAAGAAGAAGAAAAAAACGGGTCTGCAGGCACAGTTCAACGGATGCGTGATTACAAGTGTTCTGTGTTCGACCTATCCGTGTTATACTGTTCTATTTTATGGAATGAAGACAAATGTATGGTAGTTCTAAAAGGAAAAGTATAAGTGCAGACTCAATCAGAAGACCAGGATCAGTCTTCAGAGGTTGCAATAAAATTATATTGGTGTGTTTAGAATGCAGGACTGGGTCCTCCTTAATTAAACTGAAAACTTGACAAACTTATCACAGCAGCACGTTGATTGTGCAAAGACCCAAATACAAATTAGAGTGAAAGGACAACACTAAAATAAACATCTCTTGAAAATTGCTTAAAATTTGGTGCCAGCATAATACATTCGTACATTGCAACACAGGGTGACAAATCAAAAGCTGTAACTTTCAAAAACTTATTTTGTAAGGACAGCCCTTAAAAGAAAAGTTACTTACCAACAGCTTTGTTGACAAACGTTGTAGCTACTCCTCTCTGACCTTTTCTGCCTGTTCTTCCAATTCTGTGAACTGTAAATGAATTGCCATCGAGTTATTTTTTATTGACACTGTTTCAAAGGCAGGAGAGGTTGGCGAAAAATAAAATAGGACAGCCAGAAACAAAGTGGAACTCTTTCAAGACAATTGTCAATTTCAGGTACATTTCAAAGAAACAGGAATTAAATTCCTATGCATAGTGTATATATATATATATATCCGGCGGAAGAAAAAAAAAATGAGAACAGAAAATGGAGCTCCTGAATATATATTATAAGGCAGACTGTTATATTTCACAAGTAAGGGCAAGAAAATTCAAAACAAAATCATAACGGAATATCACTAGGGAAAATGAAAATGGCAGTTAGTATCTTTATAAAAGACTTGCAAACAGTCCCTCCCAAGCCTCGAGTACTTAGTCTGTGACTCTTGTGGGTGCTTGTTGGGCGCTCTGGTTTGGTCTGCCCCTTCTCTCCTTTCAAACAGGTATCGTCCTTACCTCTCCTCCTTTTTTGTGTGTTTGTTATTCTCTTGTAATACTTGTAATCTTTGGCACTTACATGACCTAATTGTGTTGCAAGAGCTGTAAAACTCTTGTTAAAACAAAAACAGCCTTTGACTCACCATAGTTCTCGATATCTTCGGGCATGTCATAGTTGATCACGTGCTGAATGCCTTCAAAGTCCAAACCTTTGCTGGCAACATCTGTAGCAACCAACACGTCCTTCTGTCCTTTCTTGAATTCTTCCACAGATCTACTCCTCTCTTCTTGATCTGTTTAAATAGGTTGGAATAAACTTTCAGTACTAAATATGCATAGCAACTGGACTGACCTGCTTTTACTAGGTACCAGAAACTAAATGTTAAAAGTAGCGGTATGCTAAATTTATCTATTCCATATATGAAAGGTCTAAATCTCCTGAGAATTTCAGTACCCTTCTTTAACCTCTCAGTTAATTTTAAAGAAAATTGTAGCTGTTTAAAATTTGACCAAATTTGTTAAAGTCGCTCACTGGCTGCAACCCCATGTTCGGCAGTTAATAAGATAGTACCAAGTGCTCCAAACATCTCCACACTAACAGAGTACAATCACTATAACAGATGTATGGAGCATAATTTTTTTCAAGGCTGTAAGATCATTACAAATCACTATTTTATCGCCTCAAACATGATGATCTGTCGTTATTTCGCCAAAAACACCAAGCGTTGACCGGGCGGGCACCCCCCCCCCCTCATGGCGAGTGAGTCGGTTCTATACTGTAGTGTACCCGCGTGGGGGGTCCCATGCTTTCCGATTTTTGTGGAAGGATTGATGAAAAAATAATCCAAGACGATTACTTTATTCTAATAGAAAATGAACTGATCTTTCTATTGGTACCTTTTTTGAGCTGGTATCTTACATATTTCGTGTAAAGGCTTTCTATTTAAACGCCAAAGGCCAAAAATATACCACGGAAAAGCCCGTCCAAAGCTCTACAGTTCTCCGCCAATGAAAAGACAGTATTTAATCATCAATCTTTCTGCGAAGCATTTGAATGCGCGTCAATTTTTCAACCAGTCGACCACGCGTTCCGACCGCAAAGGGCTTCGCCTTCCACGGCGATTCTCCAACTCCTAATAATTGGACATACATAAACAACTTACACCATTGAAACGAGGGAAAGCTGAACCTTTACACGGTGTACAGCATTTGGTGTTTTATAGCAAAAGAGCAAAGAAACAGCGATCTGAAGTACCCCAATTTCACCGATACCATATGCTCGGAAGGCCGCGAGTGCCTGCGAGGCCGTGTTTACGCTATCTTTTTTTTACAAAGATTAAAAGAAAGAAAAAATAGTCACACCAGTTGTAACGACCACTTGTCCAAGACAATCACTTGTTCTGACAAATGACCACTTCCAACTTCTCCCCACACACATTTTCTCTTGCTATTATAATGACACCGTCTAAGAAGACCACCTATTTAAGATAAACACTTTTTTTTGGACAATGGGTGGTCATTTGCGACAGGTTAGACTATATATGAAAATGCAACTTCTGATTTACAGAGAGACTTCATACGGAAATACCATGCTTTATTATAAAACTTCTAACTAAACTGAACTCTTCATGACCTTGCGTTATTATTATATATAAACTTTACAAAGTCAAGGAATCTGTTTCAATAAAAATGGAATTTTCTGAGACAGGAGAAACCAGGACACATCCCTCCCCCATTATTTAAAGGTACACAAAAGTCTGCACCTCCTCCAATACTGCCCAAATTAAATGAAAAAGAAAGCGGGGTATACATACTAGAAAACTCCTGCTAAGACTGACATAGAGAAGATTTAATTATGAAAGTAAGTACAGAAAAGTAAACTGTCCCAAAACACTTCAGTTTAGTGTGAGACTCCACCACACGCCACAAAAAAATGGTGTTTGACGGAGTTTTACACCTAGCCGTTGATTTGTCTTTTACAAAGCAAATTTTAAAAAAAGCTTAAGAAGTGATGTTTGAGCTGCAGTAGATTCAGTAAGGCAGGGAACTTAACTTTCGTCGTTCCTATTTATAGATGATAGGACATTCAAAACATGGGAAGAAAATGCAATCTATATCTTTACAGTGACTATTTTTCCCCCCAAAATATTTAACTATAAATTCCCCATTGAAAATCAAACCTAAAATTAATGTTGCACAAAGCATACCTTTCCCTCCATGAATCGCCACAGCTTCCACACCTTTCAATAGCAGATACTCATGAATGGCATCCACATCTTGCTTTTTTTCAGCAAAAATCAAAACCTGAAATAGCCAACGTCAGTTACTCAAGGTAGGTAAAAAACAACAAATGTCAGCAAAAAAATTATTACCCAAATGTGAGATCAAAACAGAAATTACTTAAATATGAACTACATTATCTTTATAATAAACTACATTAAATTTGACACTTTTCATAAAACAAATTGGTGAAAATATTGAATACAAGTTTTTGCCTCTCAGTCAAAAGCAGCATTTACTATAATACTGTGAAGCTAATTACTAAATAAGAAAATCAGTGTGCTTGTAATTTCATGTACTATTTACAGCAAACCAAACATATATATTCATTAGATGACTGACCGGTGGTGCCGTTTTGCGCAAACACTGTAGGATATAAACCATCTTTGCCTCCTGCTTGACATATTCAACTTCCTGTACAATGTCCAAACTGGCAGCTCCCGCCCGGCCAACATTGACAGTGACAGGTTTAACAAGAGCAGAACGGGCAAAGTTCTGGATTTTCTTGGGCATGGTGGCAGAAAACAACAGAGTCTGTCGCTGACCCTATACATGAGCAGAACAAAAGAAACAGGGATTAACTTTAGAAAGGGAGAAACAGTGGTTAAGTCGGAAAAGAATAGAACACTAACAATATAATATGACGAAAACAAGAGACTTCATAATTTAGAAACCTGTCCACTACCAAGTGACATGCCAGAAATAGTCCTTTCTCTTCTACATAAAGAAATCTCAACAAGCAGATCCACATCCTTTGAATACTACAAAGATTACTTCAGGTCTTGGATAAATCTGTCATGCATGTAGGGATTTAATATAAATTTCTATAACACACAGAGAGAGAGAGAGAGAGAGAGAGAGAGAGAGAGAGAGAGAGAAAGAGAGAGAGAGTGTGAGAGAGAGGGAGAGAGAGTGAGAGAGAGAGAGAGAGTGTGAGAGAGAGAGTGTGAGAGAGAGAGGGTGAGAGAGAGAGAGAGAGAGAGGAGAGAGGGAGAGAGAGAGAGTGTGAGAGAGAGGAGAGAGGGAGAGAGAGAGAGAGAGAGTGTGAAAGAGAGAGAGAGAGAGAGAGAGAGATTTTGTTAAGCACGTTGCATTATTATTGTATTATTGTAAGTATTGTTTTGGTTGTGAATAAGATGCGATTAGAGTTATGTTGGGATAAGTGGTAAACAAACTGTACTGTATTATTTTCCTTTTTAAAATGAATACAGTTGAACCTGCCATGATGGCCACCTGTATAATACGGCCACCCTAGCAGAAAGCCACTTTGCATTCCCCCCCTTGCATTTTTTCTGTGTAGTTTTATTGTGTAAAACGGTTACCTGCCCAAAATATTTTATCAACCTACAATAAAAAATACCTGTTTAAGAGCTCTCATCGCCCGCCGCATTGTCATAAATTATGTACTGGCCCCTGACGTTGTGGACGAGCCATCACAATCCATTCACCTGTTGTTATTGTAAGTCCCTTCGATAAATGAACCAATCATGTGGCTTAGGTAGCTCTCAAGTTGACCAATCAGTAACAAGAATAAATTTTCAGCTGCTGGTGAGGGAAGCGTTTGATCCATCATAACCTATAAGTCCTACCCACAATTCAAACACAAATCGTAAGTGGGATGAGTGGTCACTATTTACCTAGTCCGTAAACCCAGTCCAAAACAACAGATGCCAACACAAACTCTCAACAGAAGTGCCGCTTGTTCGCCGAGTGGTAGCGACCCATTTGTTTGTTTTACTATGGCACTCATTCTTCCTCATCTGACACTTTGTTTTGGTTTAGCTTTGCGCGAAACTATAATTCCAAAAAATAAAACGAACACAAAAAAAAACCTCACGAAAATCTTCTCGTCCCCTCCCCACTTAAAAAATAAATTGGATCCCCCCAAAAACCCCACAACAATTCTTATATGGCCACGTTTCTCCTCAGCAATGCGTGGCCGTCTTACACAGGTTCGACTGTATTGTTTTTGTACAAACCACTTTACTAAATCAAATTTTTACCTTTATATATATCGTCAGGAGCAGTAACATTCCTACAATTTCCTATATCATAATAAATGTGCTCAGAGCTTACACTTGTATGGGATAGAATGCTATATAAATGCAATCTATTTTTATTTTAGTCTAGGGATAAAAAAGCTGGTTATCAATCATACCTTGAAATATGAGAAAATAGTTCTGACATCTTCCTCAAAACCCATGTCAATCATGCGGTCAGCCTCGTCCATGCACAGATAACGGCACACGTCGAGAGTGACCATTTTCTTGTCCAGCATGTCCATGAGTCGTCCTGGTGTGGCCACCATCACATGAGTACCCCTGAAACAGACGCAGGTATAACCGTCATTTCATGAAGTACAGATAAGACTATTATTTTTTTCTTAACGGTGTTTGTTTCAGATTTTTAACAGATTTTGTAAGTGTTTTACAGCACTTGCAACACAATCAGGTCATATAAATGTCATCAGCACTTGCATAATATAATGATAATAATAATAATAACAATAATATACAAACTATCTAAACATAAATTCTATGCAGTTCTTGCATTGGACTTTACAAATTATTAGCTTCAATGTGTATATATATATTCTTGGGAGCTCGTCGTTAACATTCACTCTCCAAATCTCACAGCCCTCAGACCAATATAAATGTGTCCAACCCTCATGTGATCAAAGCATCTACATTCTACTGCCAGCTTAGAGAGAAAATCTGTTATTTCCATTCTCCTTTAAAAAATATGTCAGCAGACTTGGATAGTTTGTTCCTCTGGCCAACAATATGCCAAGCACTGTGACTGACTACTGAGTGGAGTAGAAGACATTTTACTATGACTATGACCATTAGCTTCTCATCAAACAAAATGGTTAATTCTTTCTGCTCAAAGCAACTGCTTTATAACTTTTCCAGAGCATATGTGCTGTTGCAGGATAATAATCATATCTGCTCAGGTTTACTTCCTTACTTGTTGATAATCTCCATCTGTTCTTTCAGTGGCATGCCTCCTATACACAAAACTGGTCGAAGGCTAGGGAAGCCAGCTGCTTCCATACATTCCCCAAACATCTTGACGCCTTCATAAGTCTGCTTTGCCAATTCTCTCTGAAAAGGAAAAAAAAATTTAAGATCGTCTTTCTACTCCAATGAGAACCAAAAAATGTTTTACTATAAACACCAGCAACTTTTTCCTCTTATAACCCCTTTTCTGTTGCAATTAAAAAAACAACAACAGATATTCAACCTTTCCTTAACAAAATGCAATGTGCACTAATTGCCCCTAAATTGAAAACGTTTATCTGAAAATCAATTAAAATCACATACACCAAAAACTTGATATAAAAAATAACACTATTTTGTATTACCTAGAAGAAACAAAAAATTACTTTAGAAATGTTAAAAAGTAGGTATACACTGATATAGTAACTAGTAACTTGAGAAATTTCCTCCCATTTTTTTCTCCCTTTCATAAACAAACTGGAAAAAACAAAAGACAAAAATATTCATGAAGTCATACCGAAGGACATATGATGAGTCCGTATGGGCCCTCTTTTTTCACAAACGGCAATTTTTTCTCCTGCTCCAAGCTGAACATGACAATAGGAAGGCTGAACACCAAAGTCTTGCCTGACCCAGTGAAGGCAATGCCAATCATGTCTCTCCCACTCAATCTGAAAAAAGTTTAATAAGAGATTATAAAAACACACACATTGGACAAAAAAAGAGAAAAGCAGAACCCATTACTTGTGTATTCTAGTGCAGAAATATTTTCAAATCTTTAGCAGGTGAATTCTTTTTTTGTGAAAAGAACTATCGTACATGCCTTCTTCTTTTGAAAAAAGAAATTTCACTTCTAATGAATTAAAATTTATGAAATGATGTTGTTGATATTAGTTAACTTAATTTCAGTAATGCACTGCCATAATGGTATAAATAACTTTAAACAGAACCAATCAAAAGGCTAAATCATTAATAAAAATAAGTTTTGCACTGTACAGTAGAGAGGATGATACAATTTTAGTGGGTATTAGATGTATAAAGAGAACTTTACTCATTCTGTCCTAAATTTCCCACCATCACCTGTTACATGCATTTAACTTGTTACCTAAATTGCCCAGTAATTCCATGTGCACGACTTGCCTGTATCAGGACTTTCCTGCAACCAACAATAAAGGAAATCTCCGCCACTTAACGTTATAAATGTCACTTTCAGATGACCTAGATCATCCTGTACCAGCTGTGCGATCGAGAAGAAGAAAGAATCCTGTTCCAGCTGATATTTTTAGTCTCCATATCAAGTTAACACAGAGGTCATGGTCATTTGAAACAGGGCTTTAGCCAAGATTGAAATAAAAAGAAAATTTTAAAAGACCCCAATGAACTCAAAATTGAAAAATAAATGAATCAGTATTTCCTTGAAATAATTCATGCAGAAAGAAAAACTAATTGCTGGAAGACACTTACACAGTAGGGATTCCCTGTATCTGAATAGGTGAAGGTTTAATAATGCCTTTCTTTTTCAAGGCTTCGATAATCGGTTCTGGGAACTTCATGCCCTGAAAAGATTTGATAGGTGGTGGCAGGTCCTCACCCTCCACCAGGATATGATATTTTTTCCTGACTTTTTCCCGTTTCTCCTCCGACATCTCTAGTATGTATTTAGGAGGCCGCCATCTGAGGAAAAAAAATATATTGCTGAAAATACCACACTCTGTAAACAGCTTTTGGAAAAATATGAAATAATTTCATTATACACCTCCTTGCAAATGCACATCTTATCGGATGGGCTAAAGCTTTATAGAGATTCTTTTCTCAAACAGAGTAAGAGTATGAAACATGAAACACTAGTTCCATGTGGAAGCCTTAAGTCTATCTTCTTGATCTTTTGTTGTCTCACATTGACAAAATGTATGAATACTGTGAACCTTCAACTTCAACTAATGCTCCGTAAGAAGGCAAATTTCGCACTGAGCATGACAGTGAAGACATTCGCATACATGTACTACTGTATGTAAACTTTTATGTCTATTCACTATTTACACTGTACATAACTTACCCTGTTTTGATAGGGTCTGTGTATTCAATACCTTTGGCCAACTCCGCCACACCCATCAGAGCTGAAAAATAAAAATGGAAGATTATATAAATGACATCCAAACATACTTCTCATTACATCTTTCAGTGTCTGTTTATTTTATTACACCACACCTTTAATTTCATAACAAAACTACAAATACACTGTTTAAGACACATACAACATGCACTCACATTTTCTAGCTAATCACTGAGACAAGTCGTTCTTTAAAAAATCTGAGAGGCATCTTGGTGAAATCAGGCGCTTGTCAAAATAATGAAATCGAAGAAATCAGCATTTTTCGGACAGTTTGGGATATTTTTTCGAATTTTTGTTTTAAGGCTCAACACCTTATGTTCAGAAACACTTTTACGTGTGGATTTTATGGAAAAATGTTGATTAAATGCACGAAAAATGTAAATTTGCAGTTTCCAAGGACTCAATTCAATATAAATTGGATATTTCTTTCATCGAAAGCAAGGCAAATGAACAACCTTTCAGATGATACCAGTAACTCCATATGCCCCAAAATTGATGAGCGCCCAACACATTTGTTTTCGTAAGACGTCTAACCCAAGGATTATCTCTTTTGCATGGAGCACTGGTATCCTTTATTGTCTCATGAAATGCAGTGCAAGAGGCTATTATATTTCCATCAGCATATTCCATACCAGTACGAAGACAAATGACAAGGAGAGTCAAGGCTCATAGCTTCACGTGGATGCGCAAAGTGTGTACCATATTTACTAGCAGCTTGGCAACACCAAGGCAAGATTGTGATGCATGGATACAACACAAGCAGGAGAGGTGCTTTAACAGAATTTTTCCACAAAAAATTTTAAAACTTTTGTCAAACTTCTACCGTATTTATTAGAAGGTGAAATAGTGTGTCTTTGTAAAAATATCTGAATGCATTTTGGCATATGTGGGTGCTAGAGTATTTGAAAAGGAAGGGTGTCCATATAAGTACATGGGTGTAGGAGTAAATGTGATTTTACAAATGCAAAAAAAAAAGTGATTTCCTTAGAGCGAGTATGTCCTAACACTTATGTGAATTACTCTTAAATCTATACGAAAAGAATTAGTAATTCTAAATAACCCCCCCTAAAATAGTAGAGTGTACAGGGGCAAGAAGAAATACTATTAAATCATTCTTGAACAAAGAAGTGAAAATGATCTAAAGCTTACCTGTTTTTTCCTTAACACTCTCAAGAATTTTCTCCTCCTCTTTCAGCATCTTTTCCCTTGCTGTCTCTTTCCTTGCTGTGAAATAAAACATTAAAGTAAATACATAACCAAGGAAGACCGCAATATAATATTTTTATTATGTCGACTACTACGACAGCATCAGTCTGAAAAGAGACAAAACTTTGAGAGACACTACCCTGAAGATACTACAATATTTTATCTGTAGTCAAGGGCCATGGCAATAATGACAGTGCAAAAAAGATGAAACTGTAATTTCATTTAAAGCCTCAATCTCTTCTTTCAACAGTACATATGTACTTAGGACAGAAATGAATATATAAATATTTTATTCTAAAGGTGAATATAAAAAATATTACAGGCATGGACACTTTGCAACTATTGATTGAAGGTTGAAAACCTGAACATTGCTGGAGCTATAAAAATGAGAAGAATTTTCCAAGCATTAACTATAGAAATCAGTACCTTCAGCCTTCTTCTTCAACACATTATGCTGATCAAGCAAGCTGACTTGAGCCAACGGTCCAAGGTCCTGCTCAGGGATTCCTCCATCATTCTCATCATCATCTTTAGAAGACTTGTTGTCATCTGAATCGCCCGGGTCCTTTTCACTTCCGCTGTCCTGTGCTAGAGGATGCTTGGAGAGGTCTCTCTCTTCTTCATTCCCACTGCTTTCTGTTTTCATCATTTCTTCCTCTTTAATTGCTCCAACCTGACCAAGTCTGCGCTTGAGCTGCATCAGCTGAAACAGCCGAGGACAAAAACGCCAAAGTGCATCAGTTATTACAGAAAATTGTAGTCAAACTCTACTTCTCTAGTCAATCTCAGTTTTTGTGAAAGGAAAAAAAAAGCCTTGGTACACAAACAAATCGACAACATAAACAAACTTGCATAGAAAGAAACAAGCTCAAGGACAATTTTGAAAAATATAACCAAGCTAGAATATTTGTTCCCATCCTTCGTTTGTTTAGCTTGGAATGGTACTTCAAAAAAGTCCATCAGGCAATAATAAGTATAAGTATCATCAAAAAGATGATGATGAAGAACAAAAGACAGACCTGCCACTCTATCAAACCTCAAAATCAGGATCTCAGGGAGAAAGAAATCGGGATTTGGTGAAAAAAATCGGGATCAGCAGCAAATCACCAAGGTGACTGCCAAAGCTGACTTAAAATTTTTCCAGGGGTGTCCATAAATTCCTTGGCCTATATGCCCTCTGTGTCTTTGTTTGTTTGTGTGTGTGTGTGTGTGTGTGTGTGCGCGCATGCGTTCGTGCGAGTTATCATTATTTTAGGTAAATCCTGAAGCATCGCATCAAGCACTCCTAGTCCAAGTGTCTATAACCCCCCCCCTACCAATAAGTCCCAAAATAAACTTAAGTTGACCTCGTCAACGGACGGTCCCCGACACGCAGAACTCACACGGCGATGATATGTCACATGACGCGAATGTGCCATTGAAACAATTATACTAACGAGTCCGACTAACTGCACGTTCACACAAAACACTTGGACGAGCGACAGTTGTTCTACTTCTAGGATATCGACGGTGGCCGACCGACCAAATGTACCAACAAATTTCTTATCCCTCAAGTGTTCAAACTAAAGCAACGACAACAGCCGCATGTTAGTCTTGTCACCGCAGTTACAGTTAGTTGTGTAAGGATTAGAAAGGCTGTCGCTCGTCCGAGTGTTTGATGGGAACACGCAGTTACCAGATCTCGGACAAGGCTTGTTTTGAAAGTAACAGCGGTACTACAAATATTATCGATTATTAAATGTCCCAAATTGTAACAGTTACCAGGCTATCATCGGAGAATCCTGAGTGCGGGAAAAGATCACACACAACTTGGGGCAAATCAACTACTAAATGTGACATCGATATTTCGGGAAATAGTGCTCCGAGTTCCTACTGACAACAAGTTCGACGGATGCTTCCCCAATAAAGGAGAAGGCAGAGTAAGTTTTTAGAAAGATCCGGCACAACAGCAGACTGGGACAAAAAATTGGAATACACGCGATCGAAATCGGGAAAATCGCGAGGAATGAGATTTGGAGCAAAAAATCGGGATATCCCGATTAAATCTGGATGAGTGGCAGGTCTGAAAAGATAAAATTTATAAAAAGAACGAATAAATACATCTGACAAATTCCTAAGGAATAGTATTGGGGTCCATATTGAACGTTGTTTCACTTATCCCAGTTCCAGGGTGAAGATAAAAAGTGCTTGAAGCAGAAGTCTAAGATTCAAAGCAGTTGATGTAGTACCAATTCTTCACTAACAACAGATTACAGATTTCGTTGAGGTCACTCCTGTTTGTCCAACATTCTGCATTTTTTCTAACTTAGAGCACGGGGATATTTATGCCATGTCCCCAGTAGAATATATATTAATTATACAAATATACGCACCTCCATTTTTTTCCGTTGCTTGATCGGGATGTAAGGTGTGTAGTTCTCATCATCAGAAGAATCATCCTGCTTATCATCATTCCCTCCATTCAGGTTCTACAAGAAATGAAATGAGGAAAATAAAAAAATAAAAATGACAGGCAATACAGCTAGTATAGTATTAGCAATGACCACGAAAAACCTTTTTTTGGCAGAAAGTGTTTGCAAATAGGTGCATTTTGTAGCTGTATCTTCACAGAGCATGGAACATTTGAATTTTTGAAATTTATCAATAAATAAAAAAGTTACGAATTTTTTATGCAATTAATTTTTGGTACACTTTTATACAATGAAAAAACCCCAAAATATGGGACGTTCTTTGGTGAGTTTTGAGACAATATTCGTCATAACTTGCTCATTTCTTGGAGTATTTAAATGAAACTTGGCAACCCAGTACATTTTCTAGTGCAGAATCCAGTCCTGCTTTCAAACTTTTCAAAGCTATCTTACTTTTTGAGTTATGAAGACGTTTATAGGTAAAAATGTGGCGGTTTTCGGTGCGCTTTGAGACAATATTTGTCATAGCTCGCCTATTTCTTGGAGTATGTAAATGAAACTTGGCAGTCTAGTACAGTTTTTAATGCAGAATCTAGTCATGCTGTCAGATTTTTAATATCTATCATACTTTTTGAGTTGTAAAGACATTAACAGGTTAAAAAAAGTGGCGTTCTTAACAGATTTACAAAGATTATCAGTCATATCTTCTCCCAAAGTCATGATATTTGAATGAAACTTGGCAACATAAAAGGTTCCTCCTTGCTAAGCAATGCTCTGGATCAATTTGTCACAAAAATGTAAGTAGAGAGCTGGGTTTATTAGTCAAATAAATCCAGTTCTCTACTAGTAAAAGCATGCATACTTTGTAATAGAAAATAAGATCGTCTCTGTGTATTCATTGTGGACAGTGTCATATTGTGTGGTAGATTAAAATGCGTTTAGATAATATAGTTTACAAGTCATGGGAATATTTCGCATGTGTAGGCTACAACTCATACTATAAATGTAATATATTTACACCCCCACCCCCCCCCTTCTCTCTCTCTCTCTCACGCACGCACACACACACATACACGCGCGCGCACTCACGCGTGAACGATAACAATATATAAACGGGACCATCTTCCCAGACTGGACTAAATAAGTACCATACTCTTTAATAACAATATTAATGCCTCACTTTTCCAAACAGAGCACACAGGACGAGTTCAAGTGTGTGCTTTCCCAAAAGGGGGGAATAGGCTTTCATAACGCAAACACAATGCATACCACTTCTCAAGATGTTTGCTTTTCTTTTTCTATTCTTCTGTCATGCAATCAAGCAAATAAAAATAACTACATCTATTGTATTGTGACTAAAATGCAACAAAAATGCAAGTTATCAAGGCCCCCGTTTCGTTTTCAAGTATTCTTACCCCCCTTTCCGGTTCAAATAAGCGGGGCCTCGTTTGTAGCGCCCGAGGCGACAGATGGCTGATGACGCCACTCAGTGGAAATTTCCCTGCCGCCGGTTGTTCACCCAGCACGCGCAAATGGCAATGCCGCTTTTCGCTTAGTTACTCCCACATTTTTAAATATTACGCAAAAACCGCTAAACACAGAAGCATGAAATTTTAAGGGAATAAAGAAAAATGGTGTACAACATATCAGTCAGTTTGACAAATCACATCTCCGAAAAATCTTCAAAGCGCACCACATCAACCACTTTCGTACAAAGTTGTCAAACTGCATACTACTAGATTGACTTCTTTTCTGATTGGCTGCCAAGTTTCATTCATATCCATTCACGAGAAGCGGTGTGAGAGCGAGTAGAAGACAACAACCTTTGCGTTAGTTCGTCCCACGAAACACCCCCGCGGCGGGGGCCAAAAATCGGCAGAACAAAACGCGCGCGGTGGGTATTGCTACAGCAATAGCATTATAGCACCAGCAGGATCACTGATGATCTACAGGTGCACTGAAAAATGCGACTGAACGCAGAACAATGCAAACTATTTTTAGGTAAGGCGGCCATCTTGCTTGACCGGGATACCTCTCTGACCACGTGACTACATCTAAATAAAGCCAACCGCGTGACATCAAAGATTCTCTACTACACGATCTTTGATGGCACTACGCTTTGGTGCGACGGTTTTCCAGGAATAGCGGAAATGGAATATGATGAAGTGCTCTGATGATTCTGCTGCTTATCTTCTGTGCATTGTTGATCGGGCCGGGGGGGGGGGGGTTAATCTTCCGGCGTCTTTACATTTTTGCGTGCTTTATTGTCTTTGCGTTTACCGAGTTTCAATTTCAAGCATCAGCGTGCTTACTGTTCTGAGCATCAACGATCTAAGCGATCTTCCACCATGTCCAAGTACCGGAATTCCGAAATATTAACATACCGGAAAACCAGCAACCAATCAGAGCATGGATGACGTGCTGCAGTAGCCGCAAGTGTGAAATTTTAACGAGCGAAACACATCGATACGGATTTTATATGTCAAGCCACTGACCCAACATGTCGTTCAATGCGGTATCTCCAAAGATCGTGTAGCAGAGAATCTTTAAATTGGTATCTCCACCGCCTTTTAAAAATAGTCTCAGGTATCCGATGATGTGATGACAATACATTACTAAAATCAGCAAATCAGGCAGATATATGTCATTCTACAATAAGCCATTATAAGCCGCATGTCACTGAACTCAATTTTCTACATTCATTATAAACAGACCATTTGCAAAATTTAAGGGTAAGATTAAACTTTGGTGGACCCAACACTAACTGTGGAACTACTTTTGAGCCTTGCTGTGCAATGGTCCGCTCTGATGTTATTGTTTTGCATTTAGATCTAGAACTAGATCTATAGATGTGTGTTTAAATTGTTATTGTTGCCAAGCCCCCCTGAAACGCTCCACTATGACTGTTGTGCTAGTGGGTCCACCAAAGTTCAATCCAGCAAATTTAAGTTTGGGAAAACAAAAACAACAAAACTGCAATACAGGCACTAGATCTAGATCTACTTGATATGGCGGACCTAACTTTTGTGATAGGGAAATATAACCCAGAGAAAATTTAGAATCTAGTTTTGACCCCAACGACGATTACTTCTGGTTGTAAATCTTAACGATTACTTTTTGATTCGCGTGCCAGAGAGACAGCCTTTCAAACCTAATCGCAAAACATCAAATCGCGGTCAAATCCCCCTGAAACACCCCAATGTTTTTTTAAAGTCAGGGGGGCAACCCACCTTGCCTTGTGAAAAACAAGCAGAATTTTACAGCTTATTTTGTAGGCTAGATTTAGATCTAGATTCTAGATCTAGATTAGATCTAGATATTAGAGTCTAATATCTAATATAAATCTAGATCTAGATATCTAGATCTAGATTCTAGATCTAAATATTATATAATAAAACATTGATACCGATATTAACTCACTTCAGACGGTTCACACAACAGTTGCGTGACCCCTGCCGTGACGCTCGCGACGGCTCCCACATGCCCTGCGTGACCAACTTTGGAATTTTTTTTTCGCTCTACAAATCACGCACGGATCGCGGGACCCGCCTCGTACCCTTGTTTGGCCAAGCCTGAGCTACTTAGACTTCGCTTCGTATCTCTGGGGCCCGTAGTTTTTAAGTTATTGAAGGTGAAAGACAGTGACCCCAACTGGGGTTGAACTGACCGGAACTCGCGCTTTGTTTTTTTCTATACAGCTGAGAGTAATCCGACAGTCGCGTCGTAGTAACGGTCGAAGAAGTCACATGAACAAGAATCACATAATTTCGCCGTTTTCGATACTTCTGTACGTTGTACTAGTTCTAGTGTCTCACAATATGATGTGTCTGATAGTTGGGATCCAGGATATGTACCCGAACACGGCCCGAGTCGTAGTTTTAGGGCTAGATCTAGCACTAGTACTTGAGTTGTTTGCGCAACGAAATCACAACGTCGTGCCGTACATCTGTCTCGTGTAATTCAGTGTATGGGTCTGAATCAACGCACAGACCAGCTTTTATATTTTCACCAAACACTCACACATGCATACAAATCAAATCAGAACACTTTGAACTTTTATTTTTGTTGTTGTTGTGAATTTCATTCTACCTGTCATGTCTCTGGAAATTTTTCGGAAAATCAAATTCATGCCAATTTTTAAAAAATCATACAAATTAAAGAATTACACTTAAACAACTTTAGTCTTTTGTATTAGATTAAGCTTGAATGTAACTTTAATGTGTCAAAAAATGATTACAATAGGGTAATTTTCAGAGTTGTGGTGACTTTTATTGAAGGCCATCATTATTCGGACTCGAGTCCGAATAACATTTTTTCATATTCGGACTCGAGTCCGAATAAAAAAATAATAATATTCGGATTCGAGTCTGAATAAGAAAAAATATTATTCGGACACGGGTCCGGAAAAAAGGAAGTGTCTTCGTTCTATAGATCTAACGTTCAGTGCTTCCAATTTTCCGCCATTTTTTAGTTTCCCCCACACCTTGTCTGCCGATCCGATGCCCATCGCCTCATTGATACGCCCCCCCCCCCCCCCACCCATGTTCCCACTTTCTTTGTTGTAGAAAAAGGTAAAATTGAAGAATAGCAGATCTCCTGGCACCTGCATATTATGAGCTGTGTAAAATTAAAAAAGACTGATTCGTTCAAATGTATACACAAGCCTGGGTCATTTGGATTGTTTACCAAGAAAAAGTCGTGTTGCTGTGTAGAGCCGAGCATACGGCAACTTTTAATTCCATAGCCCAGCGCCCAATTCATAACGTAGATCTACGTCAAGACTAGCTTATTATTGTAATAATGATCAGTTGCCGGGGGGGGGGGGGGGGACTGACGCGTATGCGACGTTCAACGCCCGGACCCATAGTAACCCCCTCCCCTTCCCCGACACGCACACACAGCCACACATGTGCAGGCCGCCCATCCGACCCCGACACACGCTACCATCTTTAATTGCTTCTGATGACCTCTTGACAAATAAACATTTATTAGAAGCTCTCTAACTTTTCAGGCCGGCCTCAAATTCATCATAATATAAAAACTCGGCTCCGGCACAATTTAACGCCATTTTGCTCGAAGTGGTCCCGGTCCTTCCCCATCCTGAGGCGAGTCACAAGTGAGGCAGGACAGGAAGCCGGAGTCACGAGTCACAGGAAGTCGGAAGTGATGTCATGCTGGACAAGAATCAGAGTCCCAATAACTTTTTTTCATATTCGGACTCGAGTCCGAATAGTCACTTCGTTTATTGAAATACTCCCCAAAACGCCAGTCAGTACAGTCTTCAACGCTTGTGACTGGTGAAAGGGGCCAGTAGCAAGTGAGTTAATCTAGATCTAGATCTGGATTAGATATCTAGATTCTAGATCTATATCTAGATTTAGATATAGATCTAGATCTAAATATTATAATTAATTATATTATTATATAATATAATAAAACATTGATACCGATATTAAATCAGTCGATATTTCAGTAGGCCTACACAAAAGTCAGGACCATCATATCCAAGTAGTGCCTGCAAGACAAATGAATTACTCACCCGTTTTAGAGACATGCTTGGGATTTCTTCTGTTACTTTTTGGTTTTGCTTTGGCCCGTCTTGGCTTGGGCTTGCCTCTGCCCCTCTGCCCAGCAAAATTTACTTGCTTGCTCGCTTTGACTTTTTCCTTGACAACTGTTCCTACCAGTACAATAAAATTTCAAATTTCAGTTAGATCTATATGTGCAATATCAAAACTATCTGTCGATAATACAACAAAAAACTGATGGATAATAAAAGTTATAACGTCGTTCCAGGCAATGAATGTGTAGTGTAGTTGATCAAGATTTAAGCCTAGTCTGGTTTTACAACGCTGTTGATACGTTGGCCACTAAATGATTCCTCAAAGCAAACGAGCTCTTCATCATCGTCCCATCATTCATTTACGGAATAAATTTTTTTCGCATACCTAATGATTTGTCACTTATGAAATGATACTTCATTTCATTTTGTGCGTAGGTTTGGGATAATTTTTTAGACAGGCGATAAAAAAAAAATGCGGTAAATTTTTACTTTCACTCCCGCACACAGATGCACTGTTACAGGGGTCAAACTGCTGTACTGTTTGCTGCAGATCACACATAAAGCCA